TACGCGAAAAAAGAAGTCGAAAATATAGAATAAACATTTTTCGTTCGAGGCTTTGTTTTCGAGAAAATCCACTTTGAATTTTCGCTCCGTACGCGTCCACTTTATCGCGTCTCGTTATAACGGATCTCACTGTAGATCGTTGTCTCGATGGAAAAATTGTTATTCTATATTTTCGACTTCTTTTTTCGCGTAAAATCATCCCCTTTCCGCTTGTACCGCCAGTTACCAATTACCCTGTATATTTCAATTTTATTTATTATGTATTCCATCGTACGTGGATTGTTTAATTAATTAGAATTCGCGCTTTTTTGTACGAATAAATGACATTTTAAAAAACGAATAAGCGAAAAGGTCGGAAAGGAACGAAAATGGAAATTTTGCTCATACGGCTGGGTTTACCTTCTTTTACCATAGCACGGTGCTTTTTAACTATCAGACGAATTTCAACTTCGCTCAAACCGAACATGGCACGATCGTTGTTTTTCCATCTTTTTTTCCATTTCGTTTTGTCTTTTCTTCTTTCTATCTCGAAACACATTGACGAGTGCATAGCGCGCGGCGTTACGTAGCTTTCATGGCCGTCGAGCAATTCGCGCGAACAGCAGATTTTAAATAAACCTCTTCCGTTTAATCATACCCCGTTCCCAGTTACGCCATTGCGATAAATTTCCCGATAACAAGGAAGTCCGAGAATCGAGCTATTGATTCTCTCTTTGTTTGCTCGTATTATTTCCTTCTCTTTGTTTACCGCTGTGCCTTTATAGACACGGCTTAAAATTATCGTGCGGATTCGCGTGGATACCATGGTACTATGTTAATATCTCGATAGAAACGTATATCGCGCAAAAACCTTTCGATTCGACAAGCTGAACGAAGTAAACGCATCGAAAGGTCGAAAGTGTTTTACGCTCTTTTCAACGAAAATGTACATCGCCACTTGATTATGTCCTGCGATTATATCATCGCGCCGTCAAAACGATATCGTACGATATTAGGTCGTTAGCGGTCGAACGAACAAAAGTTTTCAACCACTATAGTTCTATTACATTGACTCTGCAATGCTATTATGCGCCTAAACACGCCTAGAAACTATCGAGCGCCGTATCGAGGAATCGTACACCTGAACCGTGGAAGCAGATGAAATTACAATTTCAACGATTAAAGAACATCGTTTTAGCGTAATTTAATTTTCCAACAATTTTGGTTTTTTCGTGTCAAAAAATTACCGGAACGCAAAAATAACAAAGAGCTATCTACCACTCTTTCGAAATGGTTAAAGCAAAAGTAACCGGAGGGTACGAAATCCTACGGCACAGTATTGAAAACGTTTCGTACTTTTGATTTCTTGGTCGATCGTCCGTAGCTAAGGAACGATTTTACTCGTTTTGGATGTACGTTAATTTCGCAAAAGAAACGACGCACCAGCTGCATTTCGCGATACATTTTTTATATATTTTCCTAAGCGTGTCGTACACGTATTGCGTAAATCGTCGTCGCTTTTCTCCGATGCAAACACAGTTTAGATACGTTATAGCGTAAAATCTCCTTTTTCTTTATCGTGAATAGCATCATTTATAAAAAAAAAAAAATAAAGGTGCGCCTGTTGAACCGATATCGGTTCCGCGTATCTGTTAGGTCATCTACATAGAACTCACTTATCTAACGTATTGGTTTTCCTATAGTTTGTAAGTAACGACGAACTGTTGCATAATGTATACCTAATTTGCGATCAACATCTCGCGCATAACATCTGTGACGTGCATGAAACCGCATGGAAGTCTTCGACCGACTGAATCGAATCGATTATAATTATTATCGAACGCGACCCTACCAGCCATGTTAGTTTCCTGCGATTTCTCTCTCTCTCCTAATATTGCGTCTGCCTCTCCTGTCCTCTTGATCAAAATTTAACGAAATTGGCACCTTAATCGTGTTTCGTCTAAAAAGCATAAATTTAACTTAAATTCCAGTTTGATATACTAATAGTAAGTAATACGTAATTAACACGTTGACTGCCACGACAGCCGTATTCGGGTGTCAGCAAAGTTTCTGGTCAGGCCACGTAATCCATATTCCGGCGTCGCTTATTTGACTATTTGCGAAGGATCGTCGTAGGTATTCGAAAAGATATTCCATAATAATAAATTGTTAATTAATACTTAATCGTAATAACAGTTGAATTGGTATAAAATAAAAATACGAAAATGGTATATTAAAAGAATTATTTAGAATGTAAAACTTTAAAGCATTCTATACATAGCTGAGGTTGGTCGGGACAACTTGGACAATAAGTCGTTCTTTTTTTCAAATTCTTTTGTGCCTTTGTTCGGTCCATTCGACGTCTTTTATTTGCATAACATAGTTTACACGCGCGTCTATGCTTCTTCCGGAATCGTTTTTCCGAACGGCGATATTATGCCGACTCCGTCGAAGATAAGGATTTTGTGTATTTTCAGACAACCCTAATAATTTTGCAACTAATAATCGTCTAAATATTCTAATATTTATATTTTTTCTTGTTGCAATTTCATAAACCGTCAAAGCGTTTACAACGGAAATTCCCAGAAAGAATCGAATGCCAAGTTTTCCGTGCCATTTGATTCCTTTTCTAATTGTGGTGGCATAAGAAACCATTTGGTCGGAATAATCTATACCACGCTTTCCTTCGTTATATTCGACAACAGCTAGTGGTTTTAATGTTGCGAACAAACGAAACGAAAGATCATTCTCGACACCACCGCTGGAGCGATTCGCGTCACTAAAATATCGATGGGAGCACCTAGCAGAGAACGCTTGGTACTGGTGTACGCGTAGCCTGACGGAGATTTCTTTGAAAATACGCGTGCCAGTCAACGTGTTAATATGGTATTGGATAGCTTTGATTCAGGGCTCGTAACAAATTACGAAACGTTACTTTGTCGGTTATATCGAACGCGCGTCGTAAGATCGCGAACTGAAACAAGCAGACTTGTCTTACCAATTCTCTCGGGATTACAAAGGTTCCAGTTAACTCTCCTGGTACACGTTTCGACTCGACCATATACAATATCGGAGACCCGATACCGTTAGCAGAAACAAGCGTTGGAATTAAACGATCGCAAACTATCGATTAAATGCATCTCAGAGGATATAATATTCGTACCGGTCACCGTGTTAATTCGTAGGTATCGATACTCTTAACGATCGAAAGCGATTTATTCGACAGTTATTCGGAGACCGTGGCGATAAACGCGGAAACTATAGGTCGCGCAGAAATCGACCGAAACCAGGAAGAAGGGAAGAATAGAGAAGACGAATGATTCGGTTTGCCGATTAGCCATCAGGAATGGTACGATAACAGTGGCGTATCGGCTGTCCGAATAATCGACGAATACTCGCGAACGGAATTTAATTATGGCGCCAGGGTATGCCACGTCTCGTCCCTGTTCTAGACTCACTCTAGGGAAACGGCAAATTAAACGAACCGCAAAACGAAGCGAGAGATTGCGCGTCGTACGACCGAGATGCCATGAGAACTTAGAGCTGTAGTAACGTCCGAACAAACAGCAAATAGCATAGAAATGGTCGCGTTGGCGCGGAAACGTCGGAACACGCGTAACAGCGGGAATTTCCTGTGAATTCCGCGAAGTCGAATAAGTAGCAATAGAAAATAATTCGGTTGGATTTAACGTCGATTGGTTTACTCTTCTACGTATTCTGCTTCAGTGGTCATCATGGCGATGGATATCCATTCGATGGGAGAGGCCAGATTCTGGCACATGCGTTCTTTCCTGGTAGAGATCGCGGCGGAGACGTTCATTTTGACGAGGAAGAAATATGGTTGTTGCAGGACGACAACAGCAACGAAGAAGGTAAGAACTCAGAAGCTCAGTTGACGAACATAGAGAACAGAAATCCGTCCTTTCCTTAAAACTAGCCTTTCTCGCTGGATCTGCCTATATACAGGGTGATTGGTAACTGGTGGTACAAGCGGAAAGGGGGTGATTCTACGCGAAAAAAGAAATCGAAAATATAGAATAACAATTATTTTTAAATTTTTTTTTCAATTTTTCCATCGAGATAACGATCTACAGTGAGATCCGTTATAACGAGACGCGATAAAGTGCACGCGTACCGCGCGAAAAACGAAAAATTTGTATTCTATATTTTCGATTTCTTTTTTCGCGTAGAATCACCCCCTTTCCGCTTCTACCACCAGTTACCAATCACCCTGTATATTAACATTTGATATTTCGAAACGTACGGATTTGCCTGTGTAGAGTTCAACTTTATCCAGACATTTATCCAACTGAACATTCCCTCTGAATCGTTCGATTATAATCGCGGTATATTCGCCGAAACCTTGATTTTTATATAAAAGTATTCTCAACGAAAAGTTTTATGCGACGCTACGTCGTTCCTAGAAAAAACGGCAGAAAGTTTCGATAACTTTTAATTGAAAGCAGAAATACGTCGTACGTAATATCGTTATATGTGCCACCAAGTTCGCAAATCGGACGGATTCGTAACTCAAACGGCTACGACTAGGAATATCGAGCGAAATCGGCGGACCAACGGTAACGATGAAATTTTGAAGTGACGACGCCTAGCTCGTTCGGATGTCAAAATAACAATTTCTGCGCGTTCCACTTTGTGCAAAGCAGGATTTCGCAATGGCGATGGAAAGAAGCACGGTAAGAGGAAGTTTAAAGGGATTTGCGGATGAAAAGAAAAGATTCCGGAACCGAGAAATTTTCGCAAGAGCGATCGAGCCTTTTTCCATTTGATATACGATTGGAGATACGCCAATTCGGTCATCCCGCGAGCGAGAAAAAGAAATAAGGAAACGATCACCAAAATCTTCCGTCTGTTCCACCATATTGTCATATTGTTATTTTTTCTTCGAGCTACGAGAAACGCTGATGATCCAACAGCGTGTCGTGCATTCTGATTTTTTCCCATTTAATCAAACTTTTATCGATAATTAAAACGAGAGATAATTTAGATGTTGGCTTAGAGAACTCCTATGGTGATTCGACCTATCCAACTCTCGATTCCTGCTAAAGATCTAATTTCGAGACAACCCAAACACGAAACTCCCTGCAAAATCGAAACTTGGAGGCAAATCTGAGACTTAGCGTTAACCTAATGCCTAAATCGATCTTGAAACGTGTCTCGGACTTGGCTGACGTTAAATTGACACATAAGTCAATTACCATCTAACTATTAATTTCCAAGAAATTAATCATTCGCTTAACGTATTTCGCTTTTTATTTTATGCGATAGAATGAAACTTTCGTCGTTATAATTTCGATATTTTCGTTCCTACCGAATAACAGAATATCAAACGAGAAACTTGAAATTACTACCATTTCTTTCTGCTATGTTCGCGTCCTCTTCTTCTTCTTTAAACTACGATTTAACTACGCTTTACCTAAGAAAATGAAACGAATTTTTATGGTACAACTTCGGAAAGGAGAAAAAATAAATTGGTTAAAAGGATGGCTTACTCGAAACAAAGTTGCAAAGATGAAATTATCGTGTTACTTTCGAAGCAAATGGTCGAGCAACGACTACATACGGTTCCCTATTTTAATTAGAACGTAAGTACTGTAAGGAAAAAAGCCAAATTCCCAATTCACCATATGGGAACGCTTGCTCGAAACCTAGATGCAACTTGATGCGATTTTCTACGATCCACGATGAGGTTACGACGGTTAATTGACCTGATAATGCACGAAGAAAATCGAAATGGTTATTCAGAATCGGTCAACGGCTGTTGCCTGTATCGCGAATTATTACTCGCGGTTCGATTTTGATAGATGGTTGGTTCAATTCCGATTGGCCTCGTTAATAACTCCAGCTTAGCTCTCATTCCCTGCTGCTGGCGTTGCATAGTTTCCATTAGCACGGTCATAATTATCCTGGATTCGCCGACATCGTTCAGGGTCCACCTATTAATAGCGCTGCTACTAATACCGATAATTTCGGTAATTTTCCAAAAGTAGCGTAACAATTTTGGCTAAATTGCTGCTTTAAAGAAACAGTCGTCTTCTTCTTCCTCCTCCTCTTCTTCTTCTTCTTTTTCTCCTTCTTCGCTCGTGAAACCAAGCTATCCTTCAGTCTGTTACTTTTACGAAAATTTTTACCAAAGAACGTGTAGTTTCGAATTTGTCTGCAGTTTTCCTTACAAACTATTACACGATGCGTAGAAAATATATCAAGTTACGAATCGAACGAATGAAAATTTCTCTTAAAATACGTTACGGGATCGTAAACTTTGGGAAATCCATTCTCCTATTATCTCCTATTATACAGAAGCTTCTGTATGGGTAATATTCGGCGATGTTAGTGTCAGTTACGAACAACTAATGTCATATCTGACACATACCGTCGGGAACCACAGGATGCTTGCAAACGACGAGAAACCGGAACATCACGATCAGCAAATCCATCGGAAAATTAGCATCCTCCTAGAATAGTCTCGACACGAATTCATCTGGAATTCTGACGTAGCACGAGAGATTTTTCGAGCAACCGATTTATCGATAAATTCTTTGCCGGATTTAACGTTGATATTCCAAAAACGTTGTTACCGTGCAAATACAGGGTGAGTCGAAAATGATAGCACAACCGGACAGAGGGCGATACTACGCGAAGATACAAGAACAAAAATTTGACGTAACGTTTATTCGTCCGAAAGTTTGAGCTCGATTTTCTCAGAAACGAGGCGTCGTAAGAAAAATTATTTTTTCACGTAGAATCACCTCGTGTTCGGTTGTACTACGATTTCCGATCCATCTTGTTAGAGTTTACTTTCGGCAAATTACCGCAGTGGTCGGAATAAGAATTTTGTTTGAAAAATGCGTTATATCTTTGTAAAAATTCTTTAATCATACGTGCATTTTCTATAGCGTTATCGTTACGCTTTTGCAGATTTATATTTATTCCGATCGCGCAAGCATCCGCTATCCAAATAATTTGTATGCGACAACCTAAATGGAGAAGGTACACGAAGGTACGACGAGAGTGGTGTAATTTCTGTAAAAAACTCGCTGGGATATCGAGGCTCGGCAATCTGAAGAGCCCTTCGAGGACGACCGTAATCCGTTCCACTTATTTTCATGCTCGTCCTCGAGCAGGCTTTTGATTAAGAGCACTTGACTGCCGGTATATTGCAGCTAGCTGCTGTTAACATCGAGATTTCGAAGTATGTATCACGACGACGCGACGCGACGCGCTGAAAGTTCGTAACGAGGAAACTTCACCGAGAAGATCGCGCCACGCCACGGATGCCACGCTAGGCCTTTGCATCAACGCCCTTCCTTTGATTGACGTTTTGCGATGTGCTTGCAGTCACTACGCAAATTGCACTTGTCAAGATTACGCTACTTGCGTTCTCTCTTGACCTTCTCTGCGTCATATTCGTAATTTACAGAGTCTATTTCTTTTTCTTTTTTTCTTTTTTCGTACGTCGTATATTTTTACAATCCGAAGAAAACAAGGATTATAGAGGGAAAAAATATGATAAATTCTAATTCCATTTGGTAATCCCATTTTAAATTCTTCGATGCGTCGAAGGAAAAGTCTACATCTTCTCCGGTGTTTAGTTTTCTTAGTCCTCGAAGCCATTGAGTGTTGTTTAGCTCTAAATCGATTTGAAGAGCCTCTCAGACTCGTGGCCTTTTCTAAGAACATTCCGTGCACAGATGGTGCAGTGGGGTATAGACGGGCCAGTTTTCGTAATTAGATAAAAAGCCATAGGTGCGTGGCTTCGGAGCTCTGTTACAAAGCAACGCTGCCAGCGTGCGGATCTGAACTAGTATACATTGTGCTTATATTTACTTAAACATATTTCTATTATACATTCATCCACGCGTTCTTCTTTATTCTATTTCGAGGTAAACCTCAACACGATGTAACACCAGGTGTAAGTTCCCTCAGGCTTTCACGAGCCGAGTTTGCCAAGTTTATGCCGCTCGTAGCTTTGTGTTCTTTTAGAAAAGTGTCCCGACATTTTGCTAACATTTCGTTCGAAAGGACAATACTTGCACGCAGATATATCAATCCGTATGAAATATTAATGGACGCAGTTTCTTATATTCTATATGCTAACTTTATGCGATATTCCGATACTTTTATATTTTTCGTGCTACGCACCACATATACATTATCTTCTTCCACGTTCTACGTATTTCATTTGCGTCATTTTTAGGTTTTACGTACACGAACGCTTCACTCAAGTCTTAGAAGACACGTTATAGTTACTTGATATAAAATTATCGTACTATACAGGGTGGTTGGTAACTGGTGGTAAAAACGGAAAGGGGGTGATTCTACGCGAAAAAAGAGGTCGAAAATATAGAATAAAAATTTTTTGTTCGAGGCTTTGTTTTCGAGAAAATCGACTTTGAATTTTCGCTCGGTACGGATCTCACTCTAGATCGTTGTCTCGATGGATATTATCGCAGTTTAAGTTTGTTTTTGCCGTAACGGAAAATTAAGAATACATAATGAAATAATATGAAGTAATCGTAAAGTTTATTTTTACAAAAATTGCAGTGAGATCCGTTATAACGAGACGCGATAAAGTGCACGCGTACCGAGCAAAAATTCAAAGTCGATTTTCTCGAAAACAAAGCCTCGAACAAAAAATTTTTATTCTATATTTTCGACCTCTTTTTTCGCGTAGAATCACCCCCTTTCCGTTTTTACCACCAGTTACCAACCACCCTGTATAGTACGATAATTTTATATCAAGTATCGTACGAACACCGTTTCGAGTTAATCTATTTTCTTCTTCTTTATACGCGGTTTTAATTAATTTTTCTTCCAAGATACGCTATTTCGTCTCTCGGGGTAGAATATCTCGACAAGAAACGAGAAATTGAAGCAGATTTTCTCGGTGATACGTCGGAAAGAAGACGATCGCATTTATTCGCTTTTCGTAGTGACTGAACGCGCGCTTCTTTTATCGCCAGCCTTGCGAGCTTTAATTTTATGATTTCGACCTACATTTCACAACGAACGTCCCGAATGCGAAACGAGACGGAACGAAGATAAAAAGCCGTCAAAAGGAAAGTACGTTAACGCCAAACTCGAGCTTCCGTCAAACCGTCGACAAATTTTGATATCCCTCTGATAAACGACCGAAAGTGACTGATATCGTCGGACGTCGATTACCGTTTACTCCGTTTTTATTTATCTATTTCGTGGGCGTTCTTTTACCTGGTTCGCCGTTTAAGCGAAACGTAAAATAATTCTTATGAACTAAATTCGTAAAATAATTTCTACGTTGCTGGTGTTTGCTTCGATCGAAAATTCGATATTCGTTTGAAATATCGTTGGAGATATTAAAGAAAGAACGGTGGGTAGCACGAAACGAGTTTATTGAAAGAATATTTCACGGTATCCACGAAATAACGGTTGCCATCGAGAAAACAAAACCCTTCTTCCGATATCATATATTTTACAACTAAAAATATACGGATATCGAGAGAGAGACCTTTTCGAAATAGCGTCCAAACGATCTGCCATTCTCGCGAGATTCGTTCCTCGTATAATAAAAGTATCTTTCGTCCGATCCTCTTTACTTAGTTTCTTAACGATAACGATTTCTCTTGCTTTTTTTCGCCAAAGAAACTTGGAAGAAGACGCGAATAACGGAAATAAAAAAGTATAGATAGGAGAATGAATAACCGAGTAATAGGGCGAAGTTTGAAACGGTTCTTTTGCCTTTCAGGAACCAGCCTTTTCGCGGTGGCCGCGCATGAATTTGGCCATTCTCTTGGCTTAGCACACAGCTCGGTTTCTGGAGCGCTCATGTATCCCTGGTACCAAGGATTGAGCTCTAATTACGAGTTGCCGGAAGACGACAGACACGGTATTCAGCAAATGTACGGTGAGTGAGTTTGCATATTCGATTATTTCCTTGCCATAATAACAATGATTATAATACTCTACGCTTTCGCCTACTAATTTTCCAGACGACTCGAATCACAAACGAAGGGACAAGGTTACGTGGTTAGGTAGAATCGATAAAGAAGACGATCGAATCACGCGCGTCGTACGATAAATAATTAACAATCTCGCGGTTTATTTGTGTACTTTTACGTTTACACCCCGGGATGAAGGGGAAACCATTCGCGTAACCTTACGTTTCTGTCTGGTTCTTGCGATATGATATACAGGGTGGTTGGTAACTGGTGGTACGAGCGGAAAGGGGATTATTCTACGCGAAAAATGAAGCCGAAAATATGGAATGAAAATTTTTCGTTCGAGGCTTTGTTTTCGAGAAAATCCACTTTGAATTTTCGCTCGGTACGCGTGCGGTACGTTATAACGGATCTCACTGTAGATGTAGAAAAATTAAAAAAAGAATTTCTTTTATTCCATATTTTCGACTTCTTTCTTCGCGTAGAATCATCCCTTTTCCGCTTGTACCACCAGTTACCAACCACTCTGTATGCGTAGCGGGACATGAGCTACAGGACAATTCGAATCGTGTTGTTTCTTTGCCTCGGAGTATCGACATCGTTAGGATATACGTAATGTAATAATAAACAAACTCCGTGCAAAACAATGTCGCCGCTACGTGCATTCGTCAAACAAAGTCGAATATCCGGTACTCCCTTGATCAGTATAAATAAACGAACGGGATCGTAAGATGGCCAGTTTTTCGGTTTCAGTCTTGAGCAATTCTATTAGCGATCAATACGATCATTCTTTCAACGACCAATATCGAGCAATCTACGGTTGACTCCGAGTTATGTTTATAACATTTTAAAATATATTTGACGGTTTAAAAATCAAGTAATCTGGTCGTTGTTTAAACAACGACTCAACCAACCGTCCTCCGCGTATGTCTAGTATTTTTAGATATTACGATATAGCAGCTCCATTTTAAACGCGCGAACTATTCAATTCCTAAACACTGACAACATAAATCTGACGCCGTGAGATGGAAGTCGAGTAACTAAAGAGTAAATTATCTAAAGGGAGAACTGTTTCTTGTAATACGTTTGACCTATCGGAAGCTGGAACGCGTTTAGTTTGGGCTAGGTCAGGCATCGATCACGCGTAACACCAGCGATGTTGGTTCCTTCGATATCGGTCCACAGCGATATTTCCACGGAGGAAAAAGGTAGAAAAGCCGCGCATAACTGTCGACGAGTTAACAACATTGTTCTCTCGTATATTCGTCTACCGATCCTTCGGCAAGTTGGTTTTTATTCGTCGCAGAGAAGCGCGCAAAACCTAGTAACGCGAGGTCGTATGAAAATCCGAAGGTACCAGACTGAAAGTAGGAAAGTACTCGCGAAAGGGCATAATTGAAGTTTGAAATATACATGGTCGACCGACGAAATTCAGGATAAATCGAGAAAACAATTTCGCGAAATAATCGCGACGGTAGAGCGTAGAAAGATGTCCCCGCGGTTGGTAACAACAGGGTGAAATGAAACGTGAATAAAATATAAAGAACGGCCGTCCCCTTTCCCTTTCCCTTTGCTTCTAGCGGGATACAGGCCGTAGATTCGGGTGATTTAGCGTATGAGAAAGGTTTCCAGCCTCCCAGACCCGGATCGCAAATGCATTCCACTTGCCCCTTCCGCTTCTGTTTTTGTCCTCCCTCGTTCCCGCTATTCCACTCTCTTTCTTTCCTTCTCTTCCTTTCTCTCTCCTCTTTAAACGCATTTCTCCATTTCTACCTCTTATACCGGCCAATTTCTTCTTTTATTCCTTTATACCGACTCCCCCGATTTTATTCATCACCGTGATTTTTTTTTTTCTCCGCGTCCTCCAATCCGCCATCCCTTTCCTCTATCCCCTCTGCTCTTCTTCTGCTTTTCTCTTCTGCTTCCTCTTTTCCAACTTTGGATCACGCTGTCGTTAATTTTTCCTGTATATTGTTCGTACTTTCCATTTCCACCGTATCCTCTTGGTCTTTCCTGTCGTTTCCCACGTCACCTTGTTTTCTCTTCGTCATTTCCCACGTTCATTTTCGCTTTTCTACAATTTTCTAACGCTAAGTCTTTGCTCTCTGTTTTTAGCCGCGATGATGTATGTTCGTTGCAGTCTGCAGGAAAGAATATTCTGACGAAGAAAACGTCTTTGTCGTACGAGCCTGTTCTTGCGCAGGATAAGAGCTCCTTGATCCACGAATCGAGTAGATCGTTTAGGTCGTATCGTTTAGCAACGTAACTATTATAACGTAACTTGATTCGTATACGAATTATATATGTCGGGTTTGTCAAGTTGGCGTTAGACTCAGGGGTGTGTAACGTATCTTCCTTAGGACAAGCCATCGTTGTTGTTCAATGGAGATTATATTTACAATTATATGTACAAATGTTGATTTGACAGAGTTTGACAATTAAACGCGGTGATTAGACACTCTCGATGATAAAGACAATGTTCTCAGGTTCAATAACGAATCCACGGTCAACGGCAAAACTCTTTGTACAATCGAATATATTTTGAAACACAAAGTGACGTTAACTGTGACGCACGCTATTTTTCTGACTGACTGACGAGACGATGTAAGTAAACTCTCCAAGGTGATCGCAAGAATAAAAGACCGACGCGATCGCATTTGTCAATTGCGTATTGACCGGGGATATCGACAAAATTCCAGGCGCCGTTACTAGGCGGACCCGCGTAGAGTCGTCATTGGTCCTGCCCCGGGGCTTGTTTGCTAATACAGCGTGTGTCCCTCGATATTGGTACTTCTACTGTCAAGTAAAAACGTTCGTCCCGTGATCGTGGCTACGTTCGGCGACCAGTTGTGTCACCTCGAGCCCAAGCCCACTGTCACGAATCTCGGGCAAACATAATCGGATCGTATCTCAACAACTACTTCTAAGTTCTATTATTTAAGTACAGCTATAACGAATAGTTTAGACCAAAGTATCGAGGATCTTCCCAAAATTCCAAAAGATAGGCCCGATGTCCCTACATCTCCGACATATAAATTCATACAAGTAGATCTCTTTTTTATTTCTGCGCGTACAACGTACCGGACAAAGTTTAACCGAGAGAAACTAGGACAGCCTCCATTGCAGCACGTAAATAAGTTCGTGCAACATAGTCGCAAAATCCGAGCGAGTAACGCGACGATAATTTTATTCAAACGACCATTCCACGTGGAAAGGCGCGTTCTTTAACGACAAACGCGTCATTCTCACAACGTTTTAGACCTTTTCACGGGAAAGATTTTCTTCCAGCAGTTTAACGATTGCTTTCGTTTAAACAGTCGCGTGGTCGACGTGGTTCGTCAATTTCGAAAATTTCCAGATAATCTCTTCTTAACGAAACGCGAGCCTTCGAGCGTGCGGTTGCGTTTCTACTCGTACGCGGTGTATCTGTTAGGTCGTTCGAAAAGTTTCTTTCGTTTTGCTCTATCGAGATAAAGATCGCAACGTTCGATGGATTAAGTTTCATGTTTGTGTAAGTAATAGATATAACGTAAGAGTTAACAACCACCAAAACCCATTAGTTAGCCAATTACTTGACACGGCGGATAAGATCCGCAGGCTAAAAAGACATTATCCTGTAGATTTAAACGTTAGATTCAGCTAGAATCAAACATACGATAAACACTTATTATACGCGCTATAGTACCACGCCAGAATAATTTATACTTGTAATTCTCAATGAGAATCGATCGTAAAATTCTTCCAAATAAAAGACAAAAAATGTTTGTATAAAGATGCATCGTTGTAAATGACGTGTCTGTGAAAGAAAGACACTTTCCGGACAATCTAATATTTTCGTATTCGATGCTTTAAACCGTTAGAGTGCCGAGTACTCGCGGCCTATACGGTCCGTACGGACGGCGCGCAGCCAGCGCTGACGATCGCTGTGGGCGGAGTACCTTTTCGCTAGACTGAACTCTGTTGATTGACTATTCAAAGCGCAAATCGTAATAAGTTATAGTAATTCTTTTGCACGAGATTAAACGATTCAAGAGCGTTATTTCTTAGTATTATTTATTTATTGTAAACATTGAAATTTACAATAAAGTAGAATTTGGGTAATAAACTAGAAAACTAAATTTAGTAAATATAACACAAGTTAATGATTCAGTTGTGCGTGAAAAATTTCAAAACAATTATCGATACAAACAATTACGCTCCTTCTCTTATTTTTCACACAAACAACACGTTTTCTTCTTGATGCCTATCGATTAAACGAAATGGTAAATCCTCAAACTTTCGTTGGAAATATTTTCGTAAAATGTCTCTTATCAACGCTAAATGAAATTCACTAAATTCTTGTCTCGAAGCAGTAGATTTTTTGATATAAAATATATGCGTTACACAGGGTGGTTGGTAACTGGTGGTACAAGCGGAAACGGGGCGATTCTACGCGAAAAAAGAAGCCGAAAATATAGAATAAACATTTTTCGTTCGAGGCTTTGTTTTCGAGAAAATCGACTTTGAATTTTCGCTCGGTACGCGTGCGGTACGTTATAGCAGATCTCACTGTAGATCGTTGTCTCGATGGAAAAATTAAAAAAAAATTAAAAAAAAATTTCTATTCTATATTTTCGACTTCTTTTTTCGCGTAGAATTTCCTCTCCGCTTGTACCACCAGTTATCAATCACCCTGTATATAAGGAATGCATTTATATTTATCTCACACAAACGTAATAGTATTACTTCCGCGGAAAAATTGATAAACGCATATATGCGTCCTTGGTCCATGCCGGACACTTACGGAAAACGCATATATGTGTCCTTGGTCCACACCGATAGCTTTCGTCAGACGCATATACGCGTCCATAGCACTGTAAGAGTTAAAGGTCGAATATTTCGATTTACTCCGTTCGTTTTTAAACTCCGTTTGAATCATAAATAGTTGGCAATCCTATCGTTACTGACGATGTTTTATCGATGAATTTCATCCGAATATAAACATAGAAACGTAGGTAACGATATTTTTACGAAAACAGAAAATCGAATACTTTCGCAATACTCCTATGTGCCAACATGATCATCGCCTTCGTTCACGGTATCGACTATCCTCGTAAAAGAAGAACAGCGAATAGGTGCTCGTGCCGTTGTGGTTTCAGGAATATTTACCTACGAATAAACCGATGGTCGCTGTGAAACGAATGTGGTACTACTTGAAAAAGCAAACTACGTGTGTATTTGCAATGTTCATTTGTAGTATAGGTTATCGGCTGCGTACGTATACGGCGCAACGCACAGTAGTGCGGATATAAAAATCGCTCGACAAACTTTCGTTCACGATAAAAACACATCGCGATACGCCGGCTTTTCACAGCTTCGGCTATTTATCGACCGGGCTATGTGTCACGAGAACATCCAAAAATCCCAACTTAAATGAAAACGAACTGCAGGACATTAGCGTTTTTGTCTTTGTTCGAATTCCGTGCACGGTACAACCGCGCGACCTTAACCACCGGTACAGATTAGCGCGATTAGGTGAATAATCGCGGCTTGTACGTAAAATGGAAACACGTAAGATACTCTGTAAATATTTCATCTAAAATCTTCCAACGTAACTACTACGAGAAATTACGAGTTTCATACGCGTTAGAACTTTAAACTCTCGTCATGATCGTCATCGTAAACTGTAATTATGATTTTATTCGTTTGGTCGTTTTATGATCGTTCGTGTAAATCAAACACGTCGCCGATACGTAAAAGTAATTTGCTATATCGTCAGGTACCCAAAAGGTAAAGAAAGGTAAAGGTAAAGAAAATCAACGAAAAGGGTTTTGGTATTCGAATCTAGCGTGCATCGATGCTTGTTTCGAGAAAGAGATAAAGTTAAAAGAAAAAACGTAGAAAAAATAATGCAAATCTCGAGATTTCTCCTCTCTGTTTCTTTCACGACCAGGAGAATATCTCTCTTTTCGTTGCATCGTAACGCGATGTTTCATAAACGTTCCTCTCAGAACAATTTGCTTCTTGTCTTAATTACTCCGATTTTCCGGTAACTCTTCCTTTCCCGAACGATCCGACCTTCTCCTTTCTTTCCTATATTTTCCTGTGGAAACTTTACTTCTCCGAACACACCGTGCACTATATGATCGAGAGTCTACCACTGCAATGCCGATATTTCTTTTATCGTTTCGTGTTTCTTCTTTTTCCACGTGATTTCCCTTTCTTTCGTCAAATTTTGCCGTTACACGTACTTGAGAATACCGACGTACAAACTATTCGCATTAAACAACGTAATAACATAGAGCTGGCGTTTATAAACTGCGGGAAAACTCGGTTAAAGCATGATCTTTAAATACGATTTTCTCCATACGAAATCGCGCACTAGGTCCTGATAGAATCGCTTATGTACGTGCATATTCTCCGTCACAGAGACAGGAAAAATGAAGCTTTTACGCCAGCTTTTAGCCTCCGATCTGCCGATGTAGCAGAAACGATAAAAACTCATTAGCACGAAGAAGCGTGTCGCTTAATTGCGAATCACTTTGTTACTGGTTCTTGAATTAGCGACGTAATCCGGTGGACTGGAAAGCAAAAAGCAGGAAGTTAGTAGCATCCTAGCTCGTAGCGTTATTTCGTAAAATCCTCTTTAACGCTCCGAATAAAATAAGCGTCAAGGTATAGAGAGGATTTGGAAAAACAGATAGTTTAAAATTTATTTACAAATTATTCGACTCTAAATGTGCGTTACTCTCTAAAAGACTCGATGATCTACTCGCTTGGTTGTTTCTTTTCTTCCGATTTCTTCTAATAACTTCCAACCGCTTTTAATCGCTTTTGTCTCAACTAACAGCTGCACGTCCTTCAAAGCTCACATACACTCTCACACGTACGGTATAAATGTACCATCTATTTAACAATAAGATCGACGAATTCGAAGTTATTTTTGTCATAAACATAAATTTCTGCTATTCGTGTGAAAATCGATCGTCATTGTGCCTTTCGGATTATTCCTTGGAGAAAGGAATGCTCTTTCGTGATCGTGATTTTCTCTTCTTTCCTGCGATCGAAGGAGCAAAAATTTGATAGATGTTGGACGAAAAGAGAGAAAAAGAATACCCATATACATTATAATTTCACACGATTGTTAAAGCTGGCACGAAATTTGTCGAAGTAATTACTTCGAGGAAAAAAGAAAAACTCTACAGCTTTTCTCTTGTATACCCGTGATCTGGAGACAGCTGTTACGAAGAGAACAGAATTTAGTGAAAGAAAAGAATTCGAAACAAGGAGAGGTGCATATTATTGTGCCCTTGAATATAAATTTTGTTTTGGATTACAAGATCTAGAAGCAAAAGAGCTATAAGTAGATTTCTATTGCTGCTTCTTGTAGCCTTTAGTTAGAGTTACAAGGTTAACTTTTTGGTAATGTCCTTTCCTATAAATATTAGGTCGTCCAAAAAGTTTCTTTCGTTTTATAAGGAAACAATGGATGCACATTTTCCGTTTCGTATTATTTTATCGAATTACGTACGATCCATTTTGTTCTATCAAAATAAAGATCACAACGTTCGACAGATTAGGTTTCATGTTCGTATAAAGATGCATCGTCGTAAAAGACGTGTGTCTAAAGAAAGATACTTTTCGGACAACCTAACGTACGAACGCGCTCCCTATCGCTTCTTCTATTTTATCGTAACGCTATAACAGTGAGGATCTAGATCAGCATACATTATTTACGTTGAGAATTGTGTATCTTAATTGGCGAAATAAAAGTAAAGAAACACCAAGGTTACACTTAGGATTCGTATTAAAATAGTTTTAGATTTATTTAATAAAGGATTTCCAGGATCTTCGTCGATATACATTTGCACGCGTCTCGACACTCTCTTTCCGTATCACAACGAAACAGTTGCGTTCGTCTGTTTTTCGAGACGCCGCGCACACGCATACTTCCACACACTGATATTCACATACGTGTGTCACTACTACGCGGCCAATCTACTCTAGCACACAAAATTATACATATCTCGATAACGTGCTTATTATTTATTTATTCGCCTTTATTTATTTCAATATATTTTTCTATTACCAATTCGTCCACTCGTTTTTCTATCAGTCAACCTCAGCAAAATGAACAGTGGAACGAAAGCAAAGCAAACCAAAATTAATAGTCAAACCAGCGAGGTTTCTTGAAAACTCCATTATAAATAGCTCGAGTCAGGTATACGAACGAGAAGTCAATGGCAATAAACGTTATGCATAATACATCGCGGTATGCAAAGTATGTATATATCATGCGCAACCCCGTACTATCTGCATTATTGCATTATTCAAGAACGGCGTGTGTCCCAGAATCGAATGATAATTAATATTCGTGAGGGAGCTACCAATTAGCGAACGGAATCTGCACGCGGCTGCTGTGGTGAAGATAGAAAGAGAGAGAGAGAGGGAGAGAGGGAGAGATTAGAGAAACGAATAAACAGACAGAGAATGAAAATGAAAAAACTTACCCGTCTAACATCATCTCTTTAACTATCGATCTGATTACAGTGACGACACTTTCAAAATTCCAATTACAATGTTTTTCGTAACAACATGGATGAAGTGATATCTCGTGGAAATTCTCAGAGACTGTTGTCGTCTTCGACCTTAAGTCAAAGACACTTCTCGAGTTAATTAATTCTAATTAATCCTATCCTAAATAGGATATTTTTCAATTTTATATGGTAATTTGGTAAACAGTAATATCTCCATAAAAGTACGTGCGCGATATACTTTTGGTTTAAATGGAAAGTTTTGCAGTTACAGCTTGGAACATCTGCAGTGACACAGCTCGCAGAATATCTAAAAACTTTGATCACCGAAAGGCGTGTTCTGCGAACAACTTCCACTTTAAAAGTTCTACCACGTCATTTATCATTTAACATAGAAATAACAAATTAACAACGATTTTTACATGTGTTTGAAACAATGAAAAAATGAAATTACATCTTGTACACGATTGGAACACACAAATAGCTCGAGGTTCGCCTTTGTTTTCTTATTCCAAATTAAAATTAAAAATAGTTCTGTGCAGATAATGTAATCCGATTTTACGTCTGGTTGGGGTTAGGTTAGTTAGGTGGAAAGCTGACGTTGCGTTTGATATCGAGATACGGAAATAGATGTTTGTTTCGGCATTAAAAAGTATTGCCGTGAAAGATGCGTTGAATCGATTCAATTTTGAAACATAAAATACGCTTTTCTCTTCTCCTTTCGTATTGAAAATGAATTCAGGACTGAACCATCTTCACGGGATAGTAAATCTTTACGTCTCTGCATATGTTTCTAAGAAGATAACGACTTACGACATATCGTGCCTTTCATTCCAGTTTTATCGATCTGTGCGAAACGACTCGAATTATTGGTGTATATCAATTAAATTGTATCTACAGCTACTTATCCAATATTTTGCTACTGAATACACGCAATTATCGATTTTTACTTTTGACTTATTTTATCGATCGTTCGACGCCATATCGAATAAGAAGCGAAAAAAGAAATATTAAAAGTCCTGGATTTTTTAAACTATACTTTATTTCCGATTTTAATAGACGTTAAAATAATTCGAGCCAACGATCAATTTATTATCCGCGTGATAGTCGTTTAACGAGTACCTGGTGATCGTGTTACAGGTGCACCCGAAGAGAAGCTCTGGGCCAAGATACCAGGTGGTCCGCCACCTCCGGAACGACCTACAACGGCCCGGACAACTACGACAAGCGTTGGGACGACGTACAGACCATGGAGAACACGACCAACCAGGCCAAATCACTATCCAAACGACGACAGGCCTCGCCGCCCTGATCGCTACCCTCAAAAGCCGGATTACAGAACAGAGAGACCAGAGAGGCCGGAGGACAGACCTCAGAGGCCTCACAAACCTCACAAACATCACACCACCTCCACTACTACCACTAGTACCACTAGCACTACCACTACCACCACCACCACCACCACCACTACCACCACCGTCAGGACACCGTACACGCAAAGGCCAAGGCACCGATGGACAACGCCGACACCCAAAAACGATAAACCGGATAAATGTGATACCAGCTACGATGCCATCAGCATTATTCGCAGGGAAATTTTTGTTTTCAAAGGACGAGTAAGTTGTCGAACGAAATTGCAAATTTTCAACATGCCCAATGAGAACGCATGGAAATTTCATTTTTGCACGTTTGATGTATCGATAAATGTTTTATTGAGAAGTTTCTCGACGATATAGAATAGAAGAGATATACAGCGATCGAATAGAAATAAAGAAATGTAATACCAATAATATCGTAATGTGTGTCTTTCGTAGTATTTATGGAGAATCGGTGACCAAGGATTATACGAGGGATATCCAGCGGAGATCACGCGTTTGTTTAACCTACCTGAGAACATCGATCACGTTGATGCGGTGTACGAGAGGCCAGACAAGAAAATCGTATTCTTTATTGGCAAAAGGTACTATGTTTTCAACGCCAACAATCTCGAACCGGGTTATCCAAAACCATTAACTAAACTGGGATTGCCAGAGTCATTGGAAAAAATCGACGGTGCGATGATTTGGGGACACAATGGAAGAACTTACTTCTTTAGTGGATCCGAGTATTGGAGGTATGGAACAAAAATGTTTTATCTGCGGTTGATATCAAAGTTAAAATGAAATTAGAACATATATATAACATCGACACATAACTTTGAAACGGGCGAAAATTATATTAAGCGGAAATAAATGATATAAATCGGATTTAATTTAATGATTATGAAAATTAAATTTAACGATTGTGATATTCGTACAGGTTTGATGAATCGGTAAACCACATAGAACTCGACTATCCAAGAAATATAAGCATGTTCGCTGGTGTTGGAACAGACATCGACGCTGTTTTCCAATGGAGAGATGGTCTGTATTCCTGCAATCGATTGTGATAATAACAATATCAAATATATGTAATCGCTATATGATAATAATGATAAAACGTGTATATCTTTTAGGCAAAACATACTTTTTCAAGGGGAAAGGCTTTTGGGAATTCGACGATCAAAGAATGAAGGTTGCACACGAAAAGCAAAAATTATCAGCCCCGTTTTGGATGGACTGCCCTCCGGAATTGGAAACGAACGATGTGGAAAGTTATCCAAGAAAATCAAAAATCATGGCCTCGAACAACGCATCGTCACGATCGACCTTCTTCCTCGGGATATTTTTTATAGCGTATTTTAATAAATATTTGTAAACTGTGATATTTATGTGAAGTCGTGTATAAATATTTGTGCGTATATCCATACGCGCCCCAAATTTTAACACCTAAACAAACAAATACACAACGCGCGCGCGCGCGCGCACGCACGCACACCGTTTTCCTTATACCGAGTATATATAAAATAATTTTAATAAAGTAATTTTTAAATAATTTTAACGAAAATTTTAATAATAAACGATGATTTATCCCAATTTGTGAATTTTTTATCTTTCCAAAAGACTCTTTTCGCTGCATGAACAGCTTAATTGTAAATTATAAAATATACGAAGCGAGAAGTTGTTTTTAAAAAGAAAGAAAGACCAAGGGAACCTTAAATTATGTTATCTCATTTAACTCATATATTTAGCAAAAACATGTACATATTTATTTACTGTGTTGAACGATATGTTAACAGAACTTTTTTACAATTTTTTACATTTTACTTTGGCGAGTGAACAAACGGACTCTATTAACGGACTTTATTTACTCTTCTTAAAGCAATTGTTTTAGACGTTTCGTTTGAGCAGCAAAATATCGCGACATAGTGTCCTCGGGAAAGCGTAATCTTACAAGTCAATACTTGCGACTGAACTCGAATTTCACTATGAGCATAAATTATTTAAATTTCACCATAGTACGCGTTATTCTTTCGCTTTTAAATATCTTTTCTTCGCAAAATTTTTCACATATTATACGTATGACGATAAAGCTTCGTTGAATGTTTCACTTTAACTTCCTGATGCTAAAGGCGCAAATCCGGCGGCGAATATGGGTCCCAAGGATTAACCAACCTCAATGTAGTTTGAACGATATTGTCTACTTCTGCCATTCCACCCATTCCTACATCGCCACACATAAGAGTTTTAGAAATGCATGTAACCTCCTTATATCCCCAAGACTTTAACAGAGCTATCTAAGAAAAGATAAGAATAATCAAGTTTAATCACACAATACTGTAGATTTATGTTTAATAAATTCTATTAAAGCGTTTCTTTTCTAACAAACTTTTCAAGTTCCCCAGGTTCTTTTTTTTCAAATTTTTACTATTCTATGTTAGTAAACCATAAAGACAACAAATTAAATTCGAGTAATTCCACCATAACAGATTTTCGTTGCTTATCTTGTCTAATTTAATTAAAACGCTACAAAACTTTTCCCATAACCGCTACTTTGGAGATTAATTCTATGATAAAAAATTGCCCGATCTTAAATCCAGTTAACTTAAACCATAAATATGATTAAAAAGAGATATTTATGTATAATATATATGAAGAATATTATATATTTAAATATCATACTACATACCTGTGGTGCAGTAACAGGATGTTCCCACATTTTTGTATTCATTGCGGGACAAAAAATCAAAGGCTTCAATGGATCCCAGGCACGTGCGACACAAGTTAAGATATTATCGCATATGCCACTGGCTATTTTACCAAGGGTATTGGCATCTAGTGGAGCGATTAAAAATAAATCAGCCCACTTTACTAGATCAATATGTAATACAGGATCGCCTCTATCTTGCCAAGCTGCCCATTCTACAGTGTCAGATAATACTTGAATTCCTGGAGGCAGTTCTGCTTCTTTCAGGAAATGTTTAGCCTTTTCAGTGACTACTACCCTTACATCCAAATTATTCTGCCATAACTTCTCTACTAATTGTGGCAATTTAATTGTTGCAACGCTACCAGTACAACCAATTAGTATTTTTTTTCTAGAGGTGCTTGACATTTTCACAAATTTACGTTTGCTTCTTTGTCTAACGTGTTATTTAGTTCTGTTCTATCGGTTATATCAACGGACAATGTGAAATTACAACAATATTGAAAGATATATCCCTATATATTAGGCCTTCTGATGCAGAATGTCTAAATTACATTGATTAACTGAAAACTCTAATTAAAAGAAATCAATATCGTATGAGATCAACAATAATTTCTCTTCCTCTTAAATGTATTACTCTCTATATTAAATGTATTATTATTTCTAACAGTTTATTTTGAATATTTAATAATTTGCTTCCAAGTCTCTTCACTGCACTGCAATCACTTTAATTTGGCTGCATATCAGACAAAATTCTCTATTGATAATGTCGAATCATCGTCGTTCACAAATCATTTCAACAAATACATAAATACTTATATATATATTATTTATAATTTCTGATGTACATACGTAAGTTATATGTTGCTAAAAATTTGTAAATATATTCTTAAAATTCGTGGTAGTATTTTCTAAAGTGAAACAAGAATGACCAGCGAAAAAGTTCATAAATACCAGTTAAGTGATAAGAGCGGTGATCTACAACGTCGCGACAATCGATTAGTAATAAATCGCTGCTGTTATGTCTCCTTGACCTCATCAGAAAAACCGAGATTAGACCAATCCTCTCGCGCCATAAGCTCATTATCCATCCGACAACCAAGATAATCCTTTATAACATTTCGACACATTGTGTTTTCGTTTTTATTGTCGATCAAACAACGCATATATTTGATCATAAGCTTCCTGCAGACACCCTCATGATCGAGTGGAAAACTACCTTTCTCCGGAGGTATGGGTGTAAGTATCTTCTGTGAGAATGTGTATGTGGACATCACTACCGCCGGTTCACGTTCATACAGAAAAATCGGTGGATCAATGAATACAGACAGAATTTTCGAAAACCTCTTTTAAACAAACTTATTACGAAATAAACGGTAAACCACAGCCACCATTGTAGAACATTCAATGCAACAGCGCCACTTGTGATCGTATCTTTAACTTCGTTTTGTGCACTCTATATTACGTAACTATAGAAAAATATGGTGATCGCCGATGCTTATGGGAGAAATTCAGTCAAAAGTAAGCGAATTACCAACGATAAGCACCGGCGATCTCCTTATTTACCCCGGTAATACAACATAAACACATTTACGCAGCAAAAAGCATAAAATATAATATATGGTATTAAACGTAAATTTGCATAAATTCACATATAAGTTAAAATATTGAAATTCCACAATATTTAAAATTGTCGTTAAAAGATAATATCGCCGATTCACAATAATATGTTTTGCGTATCAAGGCGGATACGCAATAAGTTACTAGACTTCGAACCAATCATGCATGTTCCTTCCTTTTTCTTTTTTCTCACATTTCATTTCCCCCATCTCTTTCGCTTTTCTATATACTATCTATGTAGAACCATTACAGAAATAAAATATACAAATTTTTCAATGCTTACAAGACAAAAATATGTAAAATTGCCCCATTAATATACAAGCGCTTAGAAAATACTTAAATACTCTATATTAAATATTTAATCAGTAAGCATAAATTGTAGCAGGTTCTAGGTATACTAATTACAGAGAGGAAATGAGAGTACTCACGCTTATAGACCTGGTTATTCCCGGACTAGTGCTGCACCATGCGGCCAATTGCTGAATTTAATTGATATTAGCTTATACAAGAAATTAGGGATCTGTCCTGTTTGGTTGCACACTAGCATAGACAAGAAGCTATTGATTTCCACGCTACAAGAAGAACCTATTTAATTGTACAGTCCTACAGGAAAGCTCATATCTGCTTTTCTATCCAAGATGGACAAATATAATAATGACAAAATCGTGCAATAATGAAACTAATTGTAAGAAAGAGAAATTAATTGTTTACTATATTTCTGCACGACGACAACGATAATATAAAACAGTATTAAAAGTATTATAAAATGTCAGAATATAATAATTTATTAACAAAAAACGAAGAGAATAAATAAATTTCTGCCGTTGAGGAAATCCCAACTGCTCTTCGCCCTCCTTTTTGATTTTTGAGACTTGCGTCCTTCTTTTTTGATGTCTCCTCGGGCGCGAATCCTCCTTAACTTTAACGGAAAGCTCTCCTTCGGATACTCCTAGAATCATTGAAGGAATTGATAGGACCTATAAAAACATAATCGCAATAGCAGTCAATTAGCTCATATTACTTGCTATATAATTCATAGTAATATCATATAATATAATACAATTAGTAATTATATGTCAAATAAAAATGATAGCCCGGGTCTCACTACGTGGAGGTTGCCTGCACATGGATACCCTCCCTGAAAACAAAATTTCAATTAAATTTCAAATTAATCGTATAACGTTATATGAGATACTATTTTGAATTTGCAACAATATTTTACATTTATTGTCCTGACAATGTAGAATAACTGAGAGTCAAAGACAAACAAAAAATCATCTATTCCGCGTTATTACTATTACATTGTTACTACGTATGCATTAACTATTACTACATAATAATTTAAAAAATACCCTACCTATCCAAAAATTTAATTTCATTTAAAACCACCCTACTGTCCTATCTAATTGTACATCACATTTAAACTATATAATCGGAGATATGGAATTATTATTTATATAAAAACCTACAATAAATCTAAAATAAACGGGGGAGGGGGACATCTTATGAAATAAATTTACATTTCAAAACTTTCAATACCTTCTGTGTACCTTGAGATGTCTTGTATCTCTCTCTACAGGTGCTACAGAGATCCCTGAAACAAACTTAAGTATAGCATTCTTTCAACTTTTAAGTTGATGAAATTGAGAAATAGAGAACATATTTAAAACAACGTTCGTTAACAATTACGAATAAAATTATGTTCTTAATGAAAAGCTTTTATGTGTTACACGTGTAAGATTGCTATTATTACATAAAATATGGTACGTATTAATAAAAATGCCGTTATGATATATTATTTGATTATTAATACTACTATTAGTAAATATATTTCAACTTCTGTTACTCAATACGTTCTTATCTATGCTAGAATGGAACTAAACAGGGCAGATCCCTAATTTTATAGGTTCTTGTATATCCTAATGTCAATTAAACTCAGCACTTGGCCGCATGGTGGCAGCACCTGTAATATGAAACAACTAGAACTACGGGTGTGAGCACTCTCATTTCTTCTCTGCTAATTTCTAGCGTAAATGTTTTCAAACTTGTGAGGAACAAGTTACAAAGTGTGTGTAAAATTAAAAATTTATTGTCATTACTATTAATATAGTATATTAATGATTACAAAATGGAAGAAAGTAATCCAACAAAACAACAGGAACAAGAAAATGTAAAGGAACTGACATGGAAAGATTTGGTAAGTTTAAAAATGTCTGTAACACACATCTAACCTAATCAAAACAAAAAAGTACTCCATATGTCCTTTTATAATCACATATACATTAAACTTAATGTAACGATTGAATAAATTATTTAACGTAATAATACAAAAATATATTCGTAATTATAAGAATATAACATTTAAAAATTAATATTATATTTGAAATTTACTTGAATTGCGCTCTATATTTACTTAAAATAAATATATTTAAAAATATATATAAAATTTATCTTTATCATCATTTCATATTATTATATTCTTGCAGTATCTAAAATACATGGTTAATAATTATTCAATATTTAATATTCATTAATATATATTTTAAATACTTTATTCTTTTAGAAAGAATATAAATAAAATACAAATATTATGTTAATATTTCATTAATATTATGTTAATTGTTAATATTTCTAGGGGATCGTAGACACATTGTGTAAAACATGTGAAGATTTAAAATGGAAATCACCTACAAAAATTCAATGTGAAGCTATTCCGTTAACCCTTGAAGGTAAAATGAAAAGAGAAATAGACATATATATATATGAAAAATAAAAGAACTAGAATTAAATTGAAGTACTTTTTGTCAAATTGAATTTAAAATTTATTAGGTAAAGATGTAATAGGATTAGCAGAAACTGGTTCTGGTAAAACTGCAGCCTTTGCTATTCCTATATTACAGGCACTGTTAGAAAATCCACAAAGATATTTTGCTTTAATTTTAACACCTACCAGAGAACTAGCCTTCCAAATATCAGAACAATTTGAAGCTCTAGGTAATGCAAATATTTCATTTTGTAGTAATTTAGAATAATGTACTCATGATTATTATATATAATGTTATTTTATTCTAGGGTCAAGTATTGGAGTAAAATGTGCAGTAATAGTAGGTGGAATGGACATGATGTCTCAGGCATTGTTATTGGCAAAAAAGCCACATATTTTAATTGCCACTCCAGGTAGATTAGTTGATCACTTGGAAAACACAAAAGGTTTTAATCTACGTTCTTTAAAATTCTTGGTAAGTAACAGTAATAGTTTTATTATATACACGTGATAAAAAAATTGATGTACCTATTGTTCCAATCTTTTAAAAGGTTATGGATGAGGCAGATCGAATTTTGAATATGGATTTTGAAGTTGAAGTAGATAAAATTTTAAGGGTAATTCCTCGAGAAAGAAGAACATTGTTGTTTTCTGCAACAATGACTAAAAAGGTTCAGAAATTACAGAGAGCATCTTTGCGAAACCCTGTTAAAGTGGAAGTTTCAACAAAGTACCAAACTGTTGAAAAATTACAACAATATTATATTTTTATCCCAGTTAAATTCAAGGTACAAGCAAAAATAATTTTTTCATTTTTGTAGAAATTTTCTTTTTACAATAAAATTTCATATTGCAGGATGTATATCTCGTACATATCTTAAATGAATTAGCAGGTAACAGTTTTATGATATTTTGTGCGACTTGCAACAATACAGTTAGAACTGCTCTTCTTTTACGAAATTTGGGCTTTACTGCTGTTCCTTTGCATGGACAGATGTCACAGAATAAGAGAATAGCTGCACTTACTAAATTCAAGGCGAAAAATCGATCTATACTTATTTCCACAGATGTTGCTAGCAGGTAAGTATATGATATTCAGCTTATTTAATTTTTTTCGTGATATATGTTTCTTTTTATAGGGGTCTCGATATTCCTCATGTAGATATTGTAATAAATTTCGATATACCTACACATAGTAAAGATTATATACATAGAGTTGGACGTACTGCACGTGCTGGTCGTTCTGGTCGTTCCATTACGTTTGTAACACAGTATGACGTAGAATTGTATCAAAGAATAGAGCAATTGATATCAAAACAATTACCATTATATCCGACTGAAGAAGAAGAAGTAATGGTGCTCCAAGAAAGAGTAGCTGAAGCACAACGTATTGTAAAAATGGTACAATTAGTTATTTACTATTTGATTATTGCTACGATATTAATAGTAACAACAACGATAATGATAGTAATAATTACAAACACTATCATATTTTAGGAAATGAAAGATATCGAGGACAGTAAAAAATTAGGTAAACGAAAGAAGCGTCAAGATGACAATGAGGAGGATGATACAGAACAATCTATGGGAGTCAGAAAAAGGATAAAAGGCAAAAATAAAGGAAGGGCCAAAAAGGGTTAAACGGTCTAACTGCCTTATCAAGTACATTTACTTTTCCTTAATAAATAATAGAAATGCAAGATAGTATTTGTTTTTATTGGCATTGTTATTTGTTTGTTTTTATAAATCATACCACCATTCCCCTCTTATGTATTTCATGTATCTCTATTTCAAACTCATAGTTTGTATTAAGATCCTTAAATAACTGCTAATTTACAAAACCACATTTACTCCCTTTTGCGACATTCGAGTATTTATCTGCATTAAAACGGCGAAAATGGATTCCTTTGATGATTACCGCTGTGTAAATTTATTACCATCAAGCTAATAAATCTGACCAAGCAGTTGTAAACTACTATTCAGAGATTGTAAAATAAGGGAAAATTTTTAATACATAAGAAACTATTGTTCTATCGTAATAATTTTTTTGCATTGAGCAAACATCTTTATCTGGATAAGAATAGTGTAAATTACATTATTCAAAATCACAATAATTAAAAATTTGCTGCATTATTTGCTGATATTAATGAAAGGATACTACGGAACAATCACCAAGATGTACATCCAATTCAATTTTCTACTTGTATATTTTTGTCTAAATTAAAATGGAATTCTATTTCTCAAAAAATGCAAGACAAAGATTAAAAGTATTTGATATATTGAAAAAATAATAAAAATCTCATAACAAATGCAAAAATATTATACACTGCACTCAATTATAAAATTTGTTAGATTTTTCTCTCAAATCTCTATAAAAAATCATAAATTAACATTGTACATGTTTTCATCGTACAAAATATCCAGGAACAATAACGCTCCACTTTACCTTTAAAATAATAATGCAACATTTAAAAGCTACAGTATCATTTAACTGTATAAAGTAGCAACAAATCCTTATTCTTTATCTTTTGCATTTTATCTGTTTCTACACATTAGAAACTGCAAAACGATTTTCATCAAAGGTGCACCGAAGAATAATATAATGCTGCAGAAAGTGAAAAATGCTTGATGTTGTAACTTGTATCTACTTAGTTTTCACTGTAAAGTATGCTAATTAAAATGCTGTAATATAAACTGCAATTCTTATAGACCTAACTTCCGTTAATGTACCGTTAACAAGCATGACACCTTCGATATATGTTAAAATATTGAACACCATTAAAGGGTCATTGAAATTGGATGGTGTACAACTATGTTGCAGAATGTTTGCAAAACATGTTAGGAATAAACCTAAAACACATTACAACTTATAAATCAACATTTACTACAACACATTGGTTTCTCAAGAAATACGATTATTCGATACGATTTTATCGAATAGTGCCTTTAATGTAAATTAAAAAAAAATGAAAACAAATAGAACACCATAGGCAGATACTATCATGCAAATATAGTGGTCGTCACAATTTCCATTCATAACAAGAGTATCTGCTTAGAATATATCTATCCTTTGTTCAATAAGTTTAATCATCATCCTAAAGCTAGATCAGGTGAGAAATCTCAACTTTTGTTTTTTATTACTAACGAATGCAATATGTCTAATCTCGTTGTCGAAGGCTTTTGTAATGATGAATAACACGTATGCAGGCAATTGCTTCAAAGATTGAAGCAAAAGCTTTGTCTTTGTCTGAAATTATTTATTTCAAATGCCGATACTGTCTTGCATCATTTAACAATTAAACGTTAAAGATTAAAGGTACAAGGAAATATACATATATGTACATGTGTGTCAAATTAGTGAGAATCTTTTTCTTTTACTTTTTATCAAAGATGCTTCACCGTAACCAGTATCGACAATTTATAATAAATAAATTCGTACAGTATGGCTTTATTTCTCATTCGCTCTTATTCTCTCTCTCTCTCTCTCTCTCTCTCTCCCCCTATTTTATTAATTTATAAATACATATGCACAATAATTATCACGAATCATCATTTGATAAACACAGTATGTAGTACGTAAAAGTTGCTAGAATACTAATAAAATCAAAATCTCCTGAATCGACAGGGTGTGCATTAGAGAAACAACTAGTAAATTAAGCTACTTTAAATACATAATAAAACCATTTTGACTTCGACGACGAGTTTTAAGACTCGTATTTAAATTGTTAGAATATATCTGTAAGTAACCTGGTCGAGGGCAGAAATCTAATGGATGGAATGTTCTGAATGCAAGGTGTCAGAGATGTGTCAGATGCCAAAAATTGAAACAACTTAAGTTTCATTTAAATGAGAAATAAAATATATTCCATAATATTATTATTCACTATTTCTACACATTCTGTACAGTAATTCACTTTAAGGGTTTTATATCTCAATATACTTTATACAAAAAGGCTACTTATAATCTAACATTAAGACATACCATAGCATGAGCGCCCTCCACCTTACCGCTAAACGGTAGATGGGCCGCACACATGTTTGTACTGGTATTACGAGTCAGTCGCCAGCGAGTATAACTTCTTCCTCTTGTATCACACACCACACACTAAAATATTAAAAGTGTGTTTCTGGTGCTTTCAATTCATTATATCTTATAGTTACATTGTCCCCGATAAACTTACTCCTTTGTTTCGTTAGTTGCGCTTTTGTTTCTTTCAATTGCGTGATTCATATTTTGCTTTTCTGTTTTTCAAAAAGGAATATCACAATGTCAAAATATAATGAAGTATCTTCATTGCCTGTTATGCACGAGCTTTTCTTTCGTTTTTGTTTCATTTACTTTTTTCTGAGATACTCTTTACCAATAAATAAAATTATATTTTGTGAAAATATAGAATTGCAAAAAATAAAATCTGTTTTTTCGATTTTTGACGATACCGGTACAGAAATAGTGTATTCAGAGATTCCACAAGCAACAGGACTGTTAATTCAGATCTCTGTCCTCTAAGTACTTGTACTCAAATGTAAAACCTTCCTTTTTTCTCTGTCCCCATTTTTCATAATCGAAATAAATGTAGGTTCCCTGAAACAATTATATTTTACATAGTACCAGTCTGCATAGTACAACGTATATTCAAATCTTATCATCGATTTTTAATTATCATGACTTAATATTTTATGTTATTAACCTGTTCATATTCCTCGTTGATCACTTTGGGTTCTTCGTGCCTCTGAAACCACATCATATATTTTGTATGAAACCTCCAACTTTGTTTCTTTAGAGCTTTCGCAGCCAGGTACTGGCCTTTAGAACCTTCCATGTAGTAAAATATGAAGAACAACGTTTCCGTTGAAAGACGTTGGAAGAACTCCACAGTATCCGAATGGGGAAGTTGACTCTAACATAGAATAAAGTACATATGAACAAAAGTAGAAAGAAATTAAAAATTAATTTACTATATATCTTCAAAAAATAAATAATATTAAAATCAGGATAGCCACAGTTGAACTGGCATGAACTTGTCATCTCTCTACTAAGTGGTATGCAATAGCGCTGAAAAACGCATTAGCAGGTCAATTTTCTCTCAAACAATCGATATTACATTTCGTTATTGACCAAAAGTATCATATCTACAAATTGGATCATATAATGTCGCGTGAGGAAAGAAGTGAACGGTACCAAATCCCAAACACTTGCACGTAAACCTCAGCTGAATTTATATAATTACACGATAGATAGTATAATGGTACCTGTGTATAATAAGAAGGTGTGTCACACCTATTTCTTGGTAAATAATATCGTAAACGTTCAGAATCAGACGGTACAGGCAGATGGTAGTGGGCGGCCTCCAACAACTGGAACTGCAACTGGTGTTCTTTCTGAAGAGGTACTGGCCCGAGAGGCGCAACGCTAAGAATAGGAGGAATGTGTGTATCCACGGTGACTTTGCTGTTATTATTGTTCGCCTTAGCAGTGTCAAAGATGTTTCTGTTCGACTCGGACGGCGGTATGTCCAAACCTGCTCGGACAATTACTTGTTGGGCTATAGATTTCAAAGAGGACATGCCATCAGGAAGCTTAGGGATGAGACCATTGGCAGTGGATGGCGCTGGCGAGCAGGAATTTGCGGGCAAAGGTGAAGATCTACTGCTGACTGACGACTGTGGCGAAGAAGATGGTGGGATCGGCGTTGTCATTTCAGTTTCGCTGCTGTGATTCTGATTTTGTTGATTATGCAACACGTGTGTCGTCTGTATGGGCACTGGATTACTGTGCTGCTGCGAGGTTGTTTGTGGCACATTCGAGGTAACACTAGACGCAGACGATGATGACAATAAACCATTTTCACTGCTATGAGCTGAAAATGTTAAAAGCGAGTCATAATATTATCGTTAATCGTCCTTATGATAGTCAATCATTTTTACAATATACTTACAAGATGTCTTACTAGAGGTAGAATGGATGGCTTGTGAATTAGTATGTGATGCAGCTACTGTAGCAAAATTGCCAGCATTAGTTGTAGCAATGTGATTACTTGTAGAACTAGGCGAGCTATGGCTAGGTGTCATGGGAATGGTCTTGCTTGGAGTGCTGCTTGATAATAAATTCGATTTTATGGTGGCAGTGCTTCCCGTGGTTGGAATGCTCGCCTGTGAATTTAATAATGGCCTGACTGCTGTTGGTTTCACAGGCTGAAATTAAAGTATGCAATAAAAATTCGTTCACTATATCATAGTTATCGATACTCATATACATGTAATGAAACATCGGTGTTGTCATCATGATCTTACTTAAGATTACATACCTTCGTTTTTTTGTCATTATCCGTAGAACTATCACTTGAATGGTTATGCATGGTAGAACTCAATGGAGGTGATGGTATGGGTGAAGTACCAGAGTTAGTTGAGGTTGGTGTACCTCCAGTTTCGTTGCTATTATTACTATCTGTAGTTGCTGATGAGGGAATACCAACTCCAGACAGTTCAACTTCATCGAGACCAATAATATCATCATAGATATATTCATTTTCCTCGAAATCAGGTTCCTGCGAGGATTCGATATAATACTCTACATCATCTTTTATCCTCTTAATCTGTGAAACCAATTAAAAGATTAAATAATTATAAGCTTTCAAGGTATTAATACAGTCAAATAACTATATCTTTGTATTAATAAACTTACAGTGTTAACTTCAACAGACATATTGTCCAACATGCGTAACAATGTTTCCAATTTACGGATATGGTAACGATGTTTATCAAGTTTTGCTTTTAATTCATCCATCCTATCCTGCTTATCTTTATCTAATCTTTTTTTCTTTCCTGCGAGTAATGATTCTATCTCGGATTCAAATGTATCCAGCTGCATTGAAATCATCAACGCGTTTTAGTTTTAACAAAATATTTTCCAGTCTGTTTAAACATCATCATATTTCATACCTGAAGGTTTAAAGCGTCTATTGAATTTGCAAGCCAATTGCTAACTTCTTCTCGTTCTTTTTGAGCTGGATCAAGTTTTTGAGCAGCTCCTAATCCTTCTTTCGAATAAGCTTTTGTTTTCGTCTCTCTCTCCACAACTTTAAACCTTTCCATTTGCTAACGAAAATGTATTACATTTAAAAATTAACATGTAAGAATTCTTGCAGTTTCAATTCTATATCAAAATATACTTACAGTTTCAATTAACTTTCTATATTCAAGAAGCGTACTTTTATCCTTAATTTCACCTGATGCAAGCCAGGTTTTAATCTGATCACGTAACCTTTGAAGTTTTTTGATTTCTTTCTTGAGATCTGCTTCATATTTCTCCTTCTGATTGCTGTTTGTAGCATTATGAACCTTTTGCCAAATATCTTCAAATGTCTCTACACCCTCCGTTACTTTTTTAAGGCACCGATCTATTTCACCTAGAATTTAAAAAATATATTTTAGTTAAGATAATAAATATATGTCACACATTACATATATCATTTACTTGAGATATAGAAACATAGATTAAATTTTTGAAATTCATTTATTATTGCATACAAATTTGTTTACATATAAAGTACCATAATTATTATTAAATCCCATACAAATTAGTAATTGTTGTTAGTGTGTTACATGTAATAAAATGCATCATGTAGTAACTACTTTGATAATTTGTTACATACGTATATAAAACCTAAATGATATATTTGACTACGACCAATCAAGTTATAACATTAATAAGTATGATAAAACATGACCCAAAATAACAAAAATAATTTATTTCTGGCAAACAATTCTCCTTAATTATCGGTAAAAGAATTCAAAGTAAGTTATGAATTGAAAGTATAGTTTACCAGGCAATATATATATTGAAAAGCTTATATCGACAAAAGCATTACATATGTTATATCTTGTATCATTATATGTATGTGTTGTGGAAATAATATATAGAACTATTTTAAAGGTTATTCTGACATAAAGAAGCAGTATGAGACTGTCATAAATACAGTACATGCAAGAAAAAATAACTTGCATTAAAGAAACATATGAAAAGTTCAAGCAGAACACACCAGTTCGTCATACCCTGACAACCTGTACCAACTGTCAGACACAGAAGGCTGCTTGCAAGAGTAGATAACGCGAGTTAAAAATAGGCTACTACTGATCGCAAAATACAAACGTTTAATGTGGCAGAGAATTGCAGAGCGCGAGGCAAGAGTGGAATCAAAGTTGTAGTAGTACAGACCCATAACAAAATTTCTGAATGTAAACATGCTGGAAACATTTTCTTCTCACCTTGCAACTTTCTCGTCGCAGCCATGGCTATGTAAACATGTGATACAATAATTCATGCATAGTCTGGACGTAATGGAAAATATACGGAACAATTTTACGGAACAAATAGTCGCTGAACTATTATTCCCTGTATGATATGAGAGGCTCGGCCACAAGATGGCTTCCGTTTTCAAATGACAACGTCCGACCGTCCGTGAACGAGGTGCGTTGATACTAGTTCCGTTTTTCCGTCAATCTTTTTAATCTTGATAGTGTAGGATATGCGCTACGTTTCGTCGAAAATCGACAGCACATAAAAATACACAAAAAGTGATAGCATCAACAAATGATATATATGAAATACTGAATAAATGAGATGGTGTATTATGCATCGGCGCATTCACACATTCTACCTTATGCACATACTTAACTTGTTCGCGTTCATAAACCAATTGAAATTTGGTTAAACCTTTCGATGCGTTCACAATAATTATAATGATTTGGAATCCGGTTATTTTTGCACTTTTATATTTACCAAAAGAAAATAATAAACTCGAATCTCGAAACTCGAAATGTTGTTTTACTTACATGTCACTCGATTTATAGATATAGATGCCTCAACTGCTAATATTAGAAAAGGTCGTAGATATTCAACAATATATTGATAAATTACTCGAAAGTAACAATAAAAGAATAAAATTTATTCTATTCAATTAGGAATTTTGTACAATATTTATGTATATACTCTCTTTATATACAATTAACAACTATCTAATATCATGTTTCGTAAAGTATTAAAATAAAGTTAATAATATTCATAGGTTACAATAATGTTCATTTTAAATAAGATGTATTTGAAATAATATTTTTTTAAATAAATTTTACTAATAATGATATATGATATATGTATATCGATATTAAACCTTTTATTTTCAAATAATATAACACATAAGATCAAATAACATATTAGATAATTATAATTATAACATGTATAATTGTGATATATTTTTAATTGTATTAATTAGAAACGAACGCATGTATGCTTATTTTCACATAATATAAGAGATTATAAAATAATATTATCATAATATTAACTTAATATCATTGCTTTTAATGTATAAAAAATATGTCAAAATACAATTAAATCTACTGAATAAAAATTTATATGAAAATTTATATGATAAATTGTAAAAACATTAAAAATATTTTTTAGTTAACATAGGAAAGGAACATAATTATAAAATATAAAATACTATTTATAAATTTATTATGTTTTATATTTTATTTAAAAGATTCATTAAATTCTTAATCATATTGTATGAACATATCAATAAATTTTTGTTATATGATTTACATTTAACATACTTATATATACTTACATACTACTGACTTAATTAAAAAAATGTGGCAGTTTTTCATGAAATCTTAGACATAAATTTTACCAATAAGTTCTATAAAAATGTGTTGACACAAGTATATATTATACGAGATACACTGTATATATATATATATATATATATATGTGTATATAGATATGTGTATTCATATATAGCAGGCACGCACGCACGCACACACGCACGCACGCACGCACACACGCACACCACGCGCAAACACACACACACACACAATTTTTTAAAGAAAATCATTAATAAAAATGCTGACAAGAAGTTCATGTTAAACTAGCTTTAACGAAGATATTTGGTAAAGAAGATTGAAATATTAGAAACATTTGAACTTTAGTTTTTAAGAAGATAAATAGTGTTTTAAACGAAATTGAACGGTTCAGGTAGCTGGCACAGGTTAAGAGCGAGAGGTGGGGGTATTAGAGGCACTACGTTGGGCGTATATGAATACGTCAACGAGAGATGCCGTCGTTTCGTGTTTCGAGTTTTTGCACAACAGCCGTGGGCCAAGCAACAACGCACTCGCGCTCAAGTCGGATTACGTTCTTCAAGAAAGATTCGAACTCTTATACTGATTATTCCACAACTGAATTACTGCAGACTATCTTTCTCTCAATGATTTTGGCCTAACCTCTTCTATCACAAACTACAGTGGAACATGACAAAAGGTGGCATCACTGGGGACGTGTTGGAAGCACGGACGGAGCTGTGCTCATTGATATGACGCCATTTTACTAACCTTTTCGGCGCGGATCGCGACGATCCACTTAAGGTGCTCCATTTCGTATCACTTCAAGAGCGTCCGATTCTATCGTTCAGATTTTACAAACCGTATACATACTTTCGTAATTCGAAGCGATTCGTTCAAGCCGAAATTTACCGGAAGGTACGCATCTCTCATAGCACTGGGATCATTTTTGTGTGCAACAAAAGTTTACCAGCAATACTTTTTTGCTGAATCTTGTTATCACGGCATCCTGATTTCGTGTGTTCTTCCATTCGCCACATTTTAACATTAATTTCATTGTAGTAAACTGTTTTTGTGGGAACTTTGGGACTGAATCATTGTGGAATGATGTTCACTACGAAAGGCTTCTTGCATGTCATACCATGTACTCAATTTTGTAATACCCTTCTCAGAGGTATTATAATTAATTGCTTGTTACTTTACTCAGTGTACTTTAAACCTAAAGTTTAATTTTCTGTGATTTATTATCAACATGATGTTCAATGTTTTTCACTTGATTTATGGATCGTCTTTCAAAGCTAATTAAAATGTTTTTGTTTCCTTAAATTGCTATGTAACAGATTAAATTCTGCATAAAAAGTGATTTTAAATATTTGGTTATATAACTAGTCTTGTTGTTATAATTATTTGCATAAAATAGTAAAGAAAGATCTTCTAATAAGTTGAATGTAACAGGTGGCTTTGTAAATATATCAATTATAACATTGATTAAAGTAGGAATGATATATAATTTTGGTGCTCTTAATTTTTGTTTAATTAACATATATGATTTAAACATTTAATATAATGATTCGTTAATGTTATAATTGTTTGAATAATATTTATGACACATACACACCACATTCTCCTATATAATAGACTATAATATTTTATGAAATAATCATTTCACAACAAATGTACAAAACAAATATTTCTTTCCTGTTAGAATATTTTTATATTAAAACATATTTTATATGTTGTAGGTAATATCACTGTAGCTAAGCAGTGCTATTATGGAAGATGAAGATGGTGAAAGTAAAGTTATGGATATGTGGAGCATTTTGGGAAAACAACAACTTAAAGATACTTCTATTGGAAATTCGCTAAAGTCATCGATCGACAGTATATACACTGATGTGATAGAAGAAGAAAAACAATTATTGCAATATAATTCTATTGCAACCAAAGATTCTTCAAGCAAAAATAACAGTACAGGACCGAAAACTGTGTTTAAAGGTTTCAAGAAACGTATTTTGGCACAAGCTCAAGAAACACAAACGAATACATTGAAAAATATAGCACAGGAACAACAATCACCACATTCTAATGCATCCAAAAGTAGCAAGGAAAAAAGGGCAGAAATTAAACGGGGCAAAATAACAGAATATGCACAATATTTGGGTCTTCAGCCTTCGTCAAAGAATAAGTGTTCAAAGTGTCAATCGTCATCAAGTTTATGCTCTACATTGAAACAAATTTCATGTACTTGCAATTCCACAATGACACCAATGCCCAGCACATCAGAATCATCTACAGTGCCACATTCTCCTAATTTTAAAATTACAAGAAAAGTTTATCTTTGTGCAGCATGTGGCACGTATTTTGAAAATTGGAACTTATTTTTACATATGAGGGATATACATAAACGTCATATATGTTTATTTTGTCTTGGAATGTTTGGTCAAGCTGAAAGGTTATCGCATCATTTGACAAAGAAACATAGTGTTCCAGAAATGACGTTTACATCTGTTGAAGATTTTTATGGTGCTTTCAAAGGATCGTGTTATCTAGTTTGTTGTACATGTGAGAAAGTTTTTTCAGAAACGGATAATTTTTATAATCATTTCTGCTCACCAACGTCTAAGCAAGATGTTACTGCTTCCATATGCACATTATGTAGACAAACAGGTTCACACGCAAGTACATGCAGTTTAGCCATTGAAACCAGTAAAGAAGTAAATTCTGCTTTACCACCTACTACGCAAACAGGAATAATGTCAGCTAATATGCTTGATAAAGATGTAAATAGTGAAAATAAGACTGTTCCAAGGAAATCGACGAAAAATAATAGGTCTAAACATATGGAAGATGGTACATCCAATCAACAAAAAGTAAATATTCACGCAAAAAAGATCAATAATAAAGTTGCTGTATCTCAGTCAAACGAAAGCCAAGTATTTGATGAAACATTAAGCAGAGATGAAAATTCTCAGAATGTAGTAATGCACAGTGTGGTTAAAGATACTGTTTCAGAGACAATAATGGAAGTTTCAAAGTGTATCGAAGATTCCTGCGAAGAAAAGGAAGAAACGAATGAAAAAGAGGTTTGTCCAAATAATTTGGAATTAAATTCAACCGATTCACCCAGCCATAATATGCCATATGATAGTGTAACGGAAACTATTATGGAGGTATCGCGATGTACAAATAACGTAGAAGATATTGATGACAAAATTAAGAAAGAAAATGTAGATGTAGTCGATATGTTGAATACATCTGATAAATCAGAAACGAATTCTACTAAACTCGATACGAAAACTGTAAATTTGACCGAAGAAACTAATATTAAGATAGAGGATGTTAATTCTGTAAATCAAGAAACAGAGGAAAATGTAGCCAAAAAGAAAACAGAAGAAATTGTATTGGAAACAGACTCTCAGTCTCAAATGTCTGAAAGTTCTGCACATAGTCCAGTTAGTCGATCGTTATTTAGCCCGCAACACGAATCACATGTATCCGACCTTCAACCCAAAGAAAAAGCTTATGACAATGATAACAAAGAAAATCTTGATGTACCTAATGAATCTCAATCTTCGATATCGTTCAATACCAGTGAAGCTTCTGATAGAAGTTTAGTTATAAAGATATGTACCAATAGAAATTCTCAGTTTTCTGTTGCGACCAATAGCGAAAATATAGAAAATAATATTGTTAAGAAGGAAGAAGAAAACAACAATGCAGAAAGTTCACTGACAGAGGAGAAAGAATGCAACATGTTCGAAGAGGACAAAGACAACAGCGTTAGTTATCAAGTGAATGACGAAGACAGCGATTCCGATAGTTCGAAATTAGCGGTGGTAGATAGCATCCCCGAAGAGACAGAGAATATTGAAGAAAGTAGCGAACATAAAGCGGTAACGGGAATTAAAATTGAAACGGACATGATTATCGAAAACAATGAAAATGAGACTGAAATTACCGACGAAAAGCCAACAAATAATATAGATACAAATGAAAAATGGGACGAAGAAATGAAAGACGATAGTCAAAGTCGAATGGAGAATATAGATCAGTCTCAAATGCAGCCAAGCGATGGAATAATATTGGCTGGAGAAGACGTTCCTTGCATCGATCTTAACGTTGATGGTATTTTAGACAGTATAGAGATAGAAGATTTATTGAAACGTTGTATAGAAGCAGCAAGTCCTTTCTG